GTTTATAGTCTCATACAGAATATAATGTGTGAGGTTTGTGATATCTGTTCTTATTGCTACTCTGAAGCTTTGCCTACTCACTTCTGGTTTCACGTTTTTGTTGTAGAAGTTAAACTTGTCAAAGACTGACCACCATGTAAATGTGCAGTAGAAGAGACCAATGACTTGGGAATTGTGTTTTGGAAACATATTGAAGGCCTTCACCCTGGCTGAAAGAAACAGATTAGAGACAAGGACAGAGGTAAATAGATTTGTGGATTAAATCCTTGGGATATTTGAGTGTTTCAGCTGCTTCAGATTAAGTAGACTGGTTTAACAGCAGAAGATCTTGAAACAACTGAATCAGACAGCTGAGGAGGGAGCTAACTTTACCTGCAAGCGATTTCACAAGTTGATTTTGAACAGGAAAACTGCTCTTGCTGGTAGCGAGTGTCCCTCCAGCTCAGATGTAACTATGCTGATATCTGCTAACTGACCAGAGTCAAATGGGAAAATGATCATGGTTGGTGAAGAGAGACGAACTGAGGAGTGGCCAGTGCCCTGATGATCCGAGAACATGGAAAAAGCAAAGAGGATCCTAGAGTCTGAGGTGGAAGGAAGAGGAAAGGAATAAGTGGATTCCAGAAAATCTAAAGTGAAAGCCAGTATGAGTGAACCCTCAAAACCCAAATCTTGGAGACTTGGGAGAATTAGGCAAGGGTATTTTCCCTAGGCTGGGTTAAGGAAATCTGAGGCCTAGAAGCAAGAATCTGTCTTCTCATGGAGTAGGAGACCTAGACAAAGATCTTGGGTTTGGTCTGTGGATGAAATCAGGCTCTAAGGAGACAGGCTTTCTAGAGAGTACAAAATTCAGGAAGCCAGACTGGGGGAGAATTTGGCTTGATTCCTACGTAGGACAGAGCACATCAGGCAGGATGCTTAGTATTTCCTCACTTACGTCAAGGTTTAGAGTATGTACGTGAGCAAATCATTTTCCATCTCTGGGTTTTAATATCCTCCTCTGCAGGTTAATGTAAATCTCACAGACTTGTAAGAATCAAATCAAGAGCTCAGGCATCAAAACGCTTTGATAATGGCAGAAATGCCATTCATCAGAGTCATAATCCTTTACTCCTCTGCATCACTCTTAATAATCTGAACCACACGAATGCCTACTACTTCTGAATCATTTACTGAAAATACATCCTAGACTCCTCTCAATCCTTGAGCAGCAACTTGGTGGCCTTAAAGTCCTCTGTTGAAGATCTGGGGCCACACTGTGAGCAGGAGAGGTCCCTCTTGCAGGTGAACTCGGTTCAGACAGGGCTGTCTGTGACGCTGCCAGCCTTGACTCCATGAGAGCTTTGAGGAAAGGAGCGCATGTATTTTTCAGTAGTCGACTAGTTCAGAAGCATGAATTGAAGCCATTGAAATGTCTTCCAGTTTCCCTTGGGATTTGAAGGGATTCTGTTGTAGAGTTATCTTTCTTCATGGTCTTTCTTTGGAGTGGCTGAACCAATATTAGGAAGCTTAGGCAACAGCTAGTGCCAAACAGATGTCTAAGTTTATTCAAAAACATCCTGCTGGAGGCAGGGAAAGTGATGGGATAAAATGCTCATGAGATTGCAGAGGTCAAGTCACTAGAAAATCCATCCTAGAAATTTCAAATCTCAGTTTCAGCAGCAATCTGTTTTCACCATCAGCTCACATAGTACCAAGTCCCAGGTACTTGTTCACAGCTGCTCTGCTGTAACAAAAGTCCTCCTGTGGTGACACGAAGTCAGTGAGCAGCTCTGAGCATGGAGTCCTCGTGGAACACACAGGGAGGTGCCCCGTGCCAGGGGTTCCTCTTGCCTGTGGCCTCATAGACTTCTGGCTTCCCCTGGCACTCATAGGCTAGTACAGGCTGAGGAGTGGGCTGGGGGCTAAATGCCTTTACCAGATAAAGATAACCAAGACCAAGCTAGGCTGGGTCCCCAGCCCTCTCCCCAGCAAGGCCTCGGGCTACTTCAAAGATTGTAAAGACAGGAAAATCCAAATGGAATCCTACTTCTCTCACTGCAGTGCACAGAGAGAAGCAATTTAACCTAATCATTGAACACATGGCTAAGGCAGGAACCTGTGCTCTGGTCCTAACATTGCCAATAGTCGGCTGTATATCTCTTAGGTGGTCACTTAACATCTGTGTCTCAGTTTCCACATCTTTCAAAGGGGAATAAGAAAGTGGCTTCCTCATAGTATTGCTAGGATAAACAAAGAGATAAAATGGAATAATCCATGTAAAAACCTATGACAAACCTATAGAAAATGCTATACAAAGTATTATCAATCAATAAGAGGCTCAAAATGTTGTTTGGTAACTTTGACCTTCATACCCTGCACTGTACCCAATCCCAGGTTCAAGGCAATGAATTCCCTCAAAAAGAAAGCCCTTTTTCTTATTTCAGGAGCTTTGTGTATAGTCAGTACCTCTCTCAGTCAAGTAGACCCAGAGGTTCCCCTGGGCCAGGATGGAAACCTGGAGGTTCTCAAAACTCTTCTGGGAGTTCAAGCCATAGAGAAGCCTATGAAACATCTGAAAAATGCCAGGCCACTTGCCCCTCCACACCTCTGCATGGGCCCAGGTTAAAGGCCAGGGGCAACTCAAAATGAGAAGTCAGAGTTCTTAGGGTTTTCATTAACCCCACTGCCTCCCTGCAGCCACACAGGAGGGCAGCACCCCCTCACTGCTCAGAGCGCCCTGTGGGCCACCCACGCAAGCAGGAAGGACTCCGTGCTTGCACATGGCTTGCCTCCTTTCCTTTGTACTGTGTGCAGAAGCAGAACTGAGACTCGAAATAAGAAGTGTTTTCGGCATGGCTCCCACTACCACTTAAGCACTGGCAATCCCAGGCTTCCTTCTGACCTACTGACCTCTAGAGCTGGCTGCCTTTCAGTCATCTTGTAAGGTAGCTTCCACCAACAATTTTCAAAACTTAACTTTTCCCTCTCCACAAACATGCTTTTCCTCTCATGTTCCCGTCTCAGGTGAATGGCAATCCAGTGGGTCAAGACACAGCTTGGACTTTCTTTCCCCTGCTTCCCATTGCCAATCAGACTCCAAGTCCCAAAGCACCTGAGATCTGATCTCTTGAAGTCCTAGCTGCCTCTTTATTCTCAGCATTACTTGATTTCATTCAACTGCTCCTATTTCTCCTCTGTCCTATTTTGGTCTCCTTTCCTACAACTAAAGTGACCTTTCTAAAGTTTAATTCAAACCATGTTCTGCCTTGCTAGAAATCCTTCATTCACACCTCACAACCCCCAAGACTGAATCCCAATTCCAGAGCATAATTTACAAGGCATTCCAACTATTGTGGTTTCAATCACTCCCATTCACCAGCATATCTCATGTTGCTACTACACTAAATTATCTGAAACCCCCTAAGTAGCCCAGGCTCTTTCTCACTTCTGGACCTTCCTGTCTGCCATTCCCTTTGACTGTTTATTCCAGCCTTTCCTTCAACCCTCCTTTACCTGCCTAACTTCCCCTCCTTCAAATCTCAGCTTAAAACCATGTCCTCTAGGAAGCCTTCTGTGAACAGTCCCTTCTCCCAGGGTTCAGTGCTCCTTCTATACACCCCATTGACTATCATAGCACTTTATCATACTTCATCATTGTTGTTTATTTAACTGCCTCTCCCACTAGGCTGGATGCTCCAATGTGAGACTGCCTTAATTCACCAATGTGTGCCTGACACCTAGAAAAATATTTGGTACATGAAATGAAATTAATATATATTTTTGAACATTGAGTAAATAAATGGGTGGATAGATGGATCATTGGATAGATAGATATCGACCCCAGGTGTAAGAATGTAAACCCCTAAGAGCCACAAAGGGTCAATTTACAGCACCTCTATGGCCTTTAGGCTAAACCATTTTCAAAAGGATAGGACAAGCTGGGCAGAGACAAAAAGCCTTTAGTACCAGAGGCTTGTCCAGACTCCAAGAGTCACTACATTAACATTTCATTTTTGCCATCTCTTACATTTTAAAACCCTCTTCCCCAAGTATCACCAAGATAGACTGGTCTAAGACATGTAGGGCAATGATGATGCTGGGAGAAACATAAGGGTGTGTGGGGTAGGTACACAGAACAGCTAGTGGAACTGGGGTTGTAGAGCCCAAAGGATGCTGCAGGGCTGAGGGTGCAGTCTGGGAAGCTACAGAATAGCTGACAGCTTCAAATACAGGGATGAGTGGAAGTACCAGGAGGGATGAGGGTACTAGACCAGAAAAGGCAGTAAGTGAAACAGGGCCAAGTTATACACGGTGGGCCAAGTGGAAGGCCTGGCACAGCACTGAGATGCCAGCTAGGAGGACGACCAGGGTAGGAATGAAAGGCAGGGGTGAGAGGAAGACAGCTGAGGAGTCATGGGATTCTGGGTTATTACGGTGGACCCTTCCACCAAGCAGGTAGGTGGATGGACAGGGAGGGCATCAAATAACTTATCTTCAAGAGATCTGTGTCCCTAGATGTTCAGCTACCTGTGCAGGACATCCCTGCAGACTGCTCACCCAACAAATTCCATTAATTCAAATTCTAAGGCCAACCAACTTTGGATTTTGGGGCCACATAAAATATTTTCCCCATTTTCATTGCAGAGAGGAAGAAGTTCAGGCTTTGGATTCTCATTGTAAATAAATCCTAGCCCTCGTATCTACTTGCTGTAGGACCCTGGACCTCACTTTCTTTAGCTATAAAATTGGGATGTTCAATGAATTGGCTTTCTTTCCCTTTCCCCTTCCTCTCTAAATGAAGCCCAGTTGCTCCCATCTTAAGTGTATGTGGGAGTGGAAATGGGGTGGAGGAGGCCCTTGTTGACTCACTAGGACAGAACGCATGAGTCAGGGCTGTGTAACATCCAGGGATGGAACAGGGATACTCCTCCCCCTGCCCAGGCATCCTCCTCCAGGTCCCTTGGGTCTTGACAGGCAGTGGGCCCCGTATGGTCAGGGAGAGCAGGCTCCGTTAGTACCTTTCTCACCACATTTGGAGAGGAATGCTGGATGGCGTTGCCCTGTGAGGGGACACTGTGAGGTGTTTCTTCCCCAGATGCCTGGGGCAAGTTAGCAGCAGTATTCTTGTCAAGAGGGAGGGCTGGCTTTGGGCCTTCAGATGCTGGGGGCTCATCTGTAGCCTGGAGAAGAAAATAAGAACTTGGGTGGGTTTTACTGCAGAGAGTAACAGCAGCAGCAGCAAAGGCTAATGCCCATTCTGCACCCTCTGTTGTCACCACCTACACACTGTGAACTGCTCGAATTTTTTTCACAAAGAAAGTTTTATCTAACTCTTCCTAACATGACAGTCTTAAGATAGAACCCAATCCAAGAATTACATTCACCTTAGCAATCATAATGGTTTTGATTTAATCTCACAGAGTTTGTGGTCCTCTATAAACCCTAGACTTTTCTCTGCCATCATAAGGATTAGTCCATGTCCCCTCCAAGGAACCTAGCCTCAGAGGAAGACATCTGAAGCATGATCTGAAGTTGTCAATGCTGAAGTATAAACGTGAGGCCTTATATTTTGTGATAAAGTAAAAGTCTATAGAGCTGCTTTTAAGAAATAAATGCAGTTCCATATTTAAAGGAGACACCACTATGGGAAAAGTGAGAAGGGGCTAGAACAGGAAGCTCTGGAGACAAAGAAAAGCCAGAGTTAAGAACGAAGATGCAGAGTGCTGCAAAGATCCCAGAGGTACAAGCTGCACCTCTTCAACTGGCTTTTAGTTGAGGAAGGAGAGGAGCAGCCTCCACCACCCAACTAGGGAGAGCGAGAACAAGGCCTCCTTTGTGGCATTTCAGAGTCAGCAGACCTTGGATCCAAGTTTTGGCTCTACCGCTCAATGTTTTATGATCTCTAAGCAAACTGCTTGCCATCTCTGACCTCCACTTCTGCATCCAGAAAAACACACGTTAATGCCTACCTAACAACGTTGTTGGTAGGATAAATGATGAGGTATATATAAAGCATTCCTAGTTTGGTATGCTTGGAATAAACTCTAAGTCTCAATCTGTTCAGTGTTATGAAGTTGCTGCTCACTAGCACCTAGTGTACACCCTCCTCCACTCCTTAAGCTCTCCCCTTCCTCCATCTGGGATTCACAAATTACAGCAAGAGAAGTGAGGTTATAAAGGTAAGAGACAGCCTCTCTCCAGCTTGGCACTGGCTGGAGTCCAGCACCGCTCAGGAAGTTCCATTCATAGACAAGGTCCCTAGTCACTCAAGAAGACAGGGGTAAGCCAGGCCACTCCAGACCATATTAAACCCAGATCTATGTTGGGACTAGGTACTATGCTCTCTGGAGCTTTCCTGAGATGGGAGGTGGAACCAGGGCAGTCTTGAATAGTCAGGACTGAGTTCAAGCCCACCCTAAAATGAAGAAAATGTGTTCCTATGCTACCCTGAGACTGGGAGGCTGTGTCCCCTGCGCTATCACAGGGAGAACATGTGTTCCACTCCACCTGAGGCTCACCTGCATGGTGTCCTCCTGGCTCTGGGACTGGACGGGGGCCGGCTGCCTCACGATGTAGTTGATCTGCCCCACAATGGTTTGCTGAAGGTGCTGAGGAGATTTGGTCTGACTCAGCTGCAGGCTGGGCTGTTGAGCCTGAAGGAGGAGCTCCAGGTCCTTCTGCATCTCCTCCAGCTCGAACTTGTGGTGCATTATGTCCACGTTCTGAGAACAGGCGGGCCCAGGAGGGCTCTCGTGCTGACTAGAAGCCAGATGCTGGGATGGAGGTAGAGGTGGGGCGGGCTGCTGCTGGGGTGGAGGTGGCGGAGGTGGTGGAAGTGGCAGCTGCTGCTGCGGCTGCTGCTGAAAGTGGCTGAGCTTCAGCTTCTGGTGGTGGCCGAACTGGACTTGGATAGAGGGTGACTGTAAGGTGGGCTGGGCATGGGCTCCTGGCTGAACATCCTGCGGGGGGACGATGCACACAGGCTGGGAAGTCAGCTGCTGCCCCAGCCGCTGGGATGTGCTCTCCTGCTCCACGGGGGGCTGGGTTTCCAGCCAGGGCTGCAGCAGCTTTGGTGGATGAGGATTGCACGGCAGTTCTTTCTCCCTAGGCAGCAGGGTGGAGCACTGCAGTGACCCCAGCTGTTGGGGCACCATCTCAGAGGGCTGCCTAAAGCTGTGGGCTGGGTGTATGCTGGGTGGGGGGACCTGGCCTTTGAGGGAGGGCGAGACTGGGGAGCAGTGGGAGCAGCACACAGATGAGGAACACAGTGCTGGAGATTGGAACTTGTGTGAGGGATGGCTAAGAGTCTCTTGCTGAGCCACTGGGGACTGGTGGCTTTGATAAAAAGATGATGGTCCCTGTAAGCCTCCATAAGCAGGAGTATCTGCCCGGGACAGCTGTCCACCCTCAGTAGTTATACAGCCTAGAAATTCAAAATAGAGAATGTTTCCAAAGGAAATCTGCAGTTGTTCCCCACTTGCTACCTCCCACTCCTAGGACCAAAGGATATCATTCAACAGGAAAGGAGAGAGTGTGCTCGAAAGTGGCAAAGGAGAGTCAATGAGCATGTCTTCAACTATGGTTCTGGGGAGCTGTGTGTTGGGAGAGTGGGATGGAAGAGAGAGGGAAGCTCTAACACCAGGTTAGTGGCAGGTGCCAGCACTGTGGTCTGAGGTCCCTGGGCCTTCAAGACGAGTAGATGATATCTATCGCTGTGTCAGTCTAAGGGCTCCTTCAGCTCACTTGAGGCCTACTTAGGGGAAGACTGAGCTCCTCGAGGGCAGGAGGTGTGTTTTATTCACCTTCGGTCACTTAGTGGCCAGTGTGGGGCCTGATTCAGAGCAGGTGCTCACCAAAGGAATTAAATCAAAGGGGAAAGGGAAGCAAAAAATACACCAAAATATCATTTATCACTCTGTCAAGTTCAAAACACTTGCAATGAGATGAACAGCCCAGATGAAGGTAGCAGTTGGCCATTAGTTTAACAAAGCTACTATTAGGCTGTCAACACAGGTACAACCCCAAGTTGTCTACATTCCACCCAAAGACTGAAAGCCAGCAAATTATTGTAGCAGGGAAGGAAAATGCACAAGGTCATAAAATATCTGCTTATATCTCAGCTCCAAAGGGTGTGACATTGTCTGTCTGTCTGTCTCTGTTGTGCCTACACATCTATATACCCTTATACTCAGAGACACAGGTCCACCTGCACTGCCATTCAGCATTCTGGAGAGTAGGGCCACTGTCTTGTCTCCTCTCTAGCAATGAAACCAAGGTAACAGGGACATTCATGCAGAATAGGAAGCTCAGATTTTAACTGGTCCTATTACAAAAGTCCTGTATTGCCATTGCTATTTAAGCTATCAGTTCTCCCCATCCCACCTTAACACCACCTCCATATCCCCTAAAAAAGTTTTGCTGAATGACTCCATCACCACTGGCATTCTCAGGGAGTGCTTTCTCTTGGGCATATGCCTACCCAGTAAGCCAAGTAGATGGTCTATATTCATTCCCAGCAATTATGTAAGGCGAATAGAGTAGGCTCTGGGCTCACCAAGGGAAGCCAGCTGCTTGGTCCAGAAGTTAGGCTCCCAAGTGAATCTAATACTCCAGGGGGAGCCAGGGTCTGTGTTACAATTTGTCTCCAGCAATCGCTGCATCTGAAACACAATCTGACAACAGCACCAAAGGTCATTTCTCTGGGCATCTTATGCCTGAGTAACAACTCCCTCTCCCTCACCCTTTGGCCAGGTCGAAGGGCTCAAAGCCATGGCTCTTTAGCAAGTGGTCCTCCCTCACATACTCAGTTCTTTGCACCTCAGTATCTTCACATTACTCCTCCCTCCCCTTACCCCAACACTGATCCCCTTCCTCTTACTGAGACTTCGGGAAAGCCTGCATTCTTATCTCTCCCAGGCCTCAAGTGAGTTGTAATTCTCCCTCAGGATATCACTTGCCTGGCAGCCTCTCAAGAGCATTCCATTCATTCTACCATAAGCTCAAATCAAAAGCCTATGAGAGCAGACATTCTCTGAGCATCCCACATTCTCTTTCCACCTACCTATAAAACTCCCTTTAATTCTAACCAATTGCCCTCTTCCTTCCTCATCCCTTCTTTCATCTATCTCCCATCACCAACTCCCTCATTTATCTAGGACTTCAGCAAGTGTCCAACTACCCTGTCAACATCTAGTTAACCAATGTCTTAACAACTTGGCCTCTTACTTCCTTGATTTCTTTAATGCGAATCACCTTCACACCTCTTTCAGTTCAGTCACCAGACCTAGACCATTTTCATCATCTAGAACCATACTACCTATGAGACCTTGAACTCCAGCAACCTTCTCCCTGATCACAACTAGCTCTCGCTCTTTCTGAACATGCTCTTCAACCTCACTGACCCCCTCAAGCCCTGCTCCATCAGTCCAGAGGGCTGTCCCAGCTTCCCATCGTTTTCAGTAACAGTATCACTAGTGCCCTAATTCCCTCCCCATCACCAACCACTGATCTCGGGTCAATCCAGCCATCCCAGAGTCATGTTACTGGGGTCACTTCAGTCATCATTAACCTCAGGGACACCCTTCAGTTCTTTTTCTTGTCACTTCCTTTTTTGTCAGCTTCCTCTTCCACAGTCCTTAATGACTATTTAAAATCTTTACTTTTCTCCTCAATGCCATTTACCCAGTGCCTAACCCTTCCCATTATCACCTCCTACTTCACAGAACATGAAAAAAAAACATAAAAGATAAATTCCCTCAAATTTGTATCCCTCCTACCTTCAAACTTAACTGTATTATACTGATACCTTCCTGTCCTCCCAACTCAGAGGAAGGGGGTGCCTTTTGTTTAAGGTCAGCCAGTTTACTCTAGATGCTACTTCTTTCTGCCTTCCCAGTACGTTCCCTCTACCACACATCTCTTCTATCTTCAACCTCTTCTCCCAAATAAACATGTGCAACTGTCTTCCTTACTTTAAAAAAAGTATCCCCCAACCCATCTTCTTCTCAAACTACCTTCTTGTTTCCTTTCTTTTCACTTCTGTCTCTACTTTCTCCCCTCCCATCCTAAGTCCCCTCATTCTAGCTTTTGACCATTCCACATTGTTGGAATTTCTTTCAAAGACTACTAGGGACCTCCTGATTCCTAGATCTCAAGGCTTCTCTTCACCACTCATCCTCTCTCACCTATGTAGCAATGATAACATTGATCACTTAAAATTTGAAACTCTGTTAATTTCTAGGCACCACACTCTCCTATTTCCCCTCTGACTTCTGAAGGTTGCTCTGAAGGTCACCTCCTTCACACATCCTCTTCCTTTGTCTATGCTGAAAATGATGGCATTTCCCTGGTTCCCAATTTATTCTTCTTCTCTTCCTTCACACACTGTTCTAGTATCATCGATATCCCAGTGACTCTCACATCTCTCTCTCTAATCCTGAATTTTCTTCTGACTTCCAGACCTAGCTATCAAAACAGATTTTGGACAGCCCTTTTTACATGCCCACCAGGTACCTTAGATTCAATATATCCCAATATAAACCCCATTAACTTTTCAAAATTCTTGCTCCATTTCCTGAGCATCACCATCTTCCCAAGCTCAACACCTCAACGTCATCCTTAACTCCTCCTTTCCTCTTAGGCCCCATTTAAACCCAAATAACTTTCTAGGGACTGTCCAGCACACTGCTAGTATCCAGGCTAATGCCTGGACCCATGACCCAAGATGGAACTACAGAATTCCCCAGCTGAGTTGCTTGGAGGAAAGCAGATCTATTCCAGCACCTCAGTCCTCTGCACTGTGGGGTTTGCTGAAAGATGGTTTTCACTTACTAACCCAAAATCAGTGATTGAGGAGTTGGAGTTCTTCTTACCAGCTCTTTGCTGAAAAGGAAAGGGATGCTGGTTTTGCTGCAGACAGCCCAATTAATGAAATTCTGCACATGCTCAAACTGACGGTTGAGAACCATGATGCTCTGTAACTGCTGCTCCAGCTTCCGCTTCCTCTCATTAGTAATCCCCTGGGTACAAAAAGAGAAGACAGGGTCCCTGATCCCGTTCTTGGACTTCAGTCCACATGCTTGGGAAGTCTGGTGGCCTGCATATATCAGTGTAAACACTTTTCAGAGGAATGGAATCAGAGGAAACCGTACCTCAAGAGGAGAACATGGACTGCTGAGGGATGGAGGGAGAAAGGGGAGGTAGATTTGACAGTGCAAATATGGACTGGATGATAAATAAATGAGGAAATGAATGAATGTCTACATCTCTTGGGCATAACTTGTTTCATGACTCTCTTTCAAGGCTATAACCCTGTACAGTTCAGGAAGGCAACTGCCTTACTACCATAGCATTAATAGGAGTTTGGTCTGATTTTCTAGCCCTTAATGTACCAACTTCCCAAAACTAGACTGGACATTTTATGGCGAGGGAGCAGCAGAGAGCTGTGAAAACTGCACATCTGAATTCTAGCCCAGGCAGCTCTGAGTCAAGACAAGTTTGATATGGGCCTGGTTTCTGCCCCAGGGAAAGTACAGAACCCATCCAGCTGTTCACATATACCTCCAACTCCTCTATGAGCCCGTTGGCCTGTTTGTTCAGCTCATTCATCAGAACCATCTTGGCCATTTTGATCTGGTTTTCCACCTTCCTGTGCTGATGCTTCACCTCAAAAATCCTGTGAACAGGGTAGGACAGAGCGTGGTGAGCCCTCCCCCTAGGCCTATGAGGGCCTAGAGATAGCAAACAGAAGAGCCAACAATGTAGAGGCTGTGTACTGAGATCAGGGCCCAGCCGGCACCAAATATAAAGAAACAAGAACACTCCTCCACCACCCACCCCATCCTTTGTACAATCCAGCCCACTTGATCTAAGTGGGCCAATGGCCTGAAGTTCAACTCAGTTTACTCTAGGTAAACTGCAGGTCCACACCCAGCTCAACCCAGTAGCTCACCAGTTCACACAGCACTAGAGGCAGGACAGAGTGAGTGAGTACGGGTATGACTTCATGTAATTTGATGTTTTCTTAAAAAGGAAAATACTCCACTAAATAGTGTTAGGCAGCAAAACGGGCAGATAGAGAGATAAAGTAGACTAGTGGTTGCCAAGGGCTGGAGATATTGCAGGGTGAATGGGGAGAGACTGCTAATGTGGATGGGGTTTATTTTTAGGGTGATAAAATGTTTTAAAAGTAGATAGTAATTAAAAATGGTTACACAACTCGATGAATATACTAAAAATCACTGAATTATACATTTTAAAAGGACAATTTTATGGGATATAAATTGTATCTCAGTAAAGCTATTAAAAACAAACAAACAAACATGGGCTTTGAAGCCACAAAGACCTAGCTTCCAAATCCAGCTCAGTCTCTGACTAACTGTGTGATCTCAGACAAGTCACCTAACCTCTCTGAACCTTAGCCTCCTCATCAGTAGAATAGAGATCACCCCTGACTCAAAGAATTGAGCAAAATGATGCATGCATGATGCCCAACCCAGCGCCTGCCACGTGATGATCTTTCAGTACCTACTTATTTCTCTTTCTACATAAAACACTGACAATTTATATCATGTGTAGATTTATGCAGAAAACACTGGGAAAGGGGTGATAAAGGGTAAACTGCCACTGACTTGTTGTACCCACATGATAAAAGCACTTCTTCCCCAGTATCTACTCTGTGCCCTTATTCTTAAGTACCTACCTTTGGCTAGTGCATGCCCACTTTCAGAAGGTATGCATTTTAGCTCAGACTCACTCTTATCATCTTGACCTAGCTTGGCCCCAATTCACCAAGTGATGGCCCGAAACACCCTCCCTGGCCCTGAGACCTCTAAAGCCAGGATATATGCCTTCTGGGACATAAGCCAATGTCTGCATGTTCTCTCCATAAGCACTTCACTCTGGGATTGGGTCCCAGGACAAGAGGGAACAGAACATAGGGTGAGCCTATGCTACCTGTCCTCAATTTGCTTTGCAGATGTCTGTAGGCTGGATTTCTTATGTGCCACCTGTGTAGTCACACTTTCCAGAAGCATCCTCTGGTTTTGCAAAACTTCTTCAAGATGTCTGCACCTAGAGGAGGAGGCAGAGAAAAAGCTTAGAAGGACTGGGTCTTATTCTGAGCATGCTAGCCAAGCAAGAATCCCTACCATGTACTATCTCAGCCAGGCCCATGGAGGCTGGGATTACATCTAGGCAAAGTCAGAGACTCTTGTCCCGTTAGGTCTTCTCCAGAGAAGCCCCACAACAGGAACTGAGAAAAACTTCAGCCCAGGGGCTGCAGGCTGGCTTGAATAGGGAGAGGACTCTGATGCACTAGGAGCCCAGTACTCTCACAGGTAGCGTCTAGAGCCCCCCAAGCCCACTCTGGCAGCCAGCCAGCCCCACCTGTGTTCTTTGTGCTCCACCATGAGGCAGCTATGGCATGTGAGCACATCACAGGTCTCGCAGAATAGCTTGAGTACTTCCTGTGTGTGTAGAGGACAGTACAAGGCGAAGTCTCCGGAACCACCATTCACTCCTGCCAGAGTAGATGGAGAAAGTAAGCTTCTGTTGCTCAGGAAGACCTCTCAGTTAAGCTCTGCTGAGCAGCCCTCAGCCATCTATAGACACACGGAAGACACAGAGTTTGGAGGGAAGGTGGTACAAAACAGGAGAGGCCTCCCTCTGGGCCAGTGAGGTTCCAGGAACATAAGGAGGAATGTGGGCTTAGGCTGGCTGGATTTGCCCAGCTGTCCAGAAATAAAGAGCCATCAGGCCCCAGGCATCCCACCACCTGCTGAGGCTCAGGAAGGTGCTTGCTACTGCTGCATATGGATCTCGTGCAGAAAAGTGAATCCTCTAATAAAACTCAACCTAGACCCCTTCCTTAACCAGGATTCTGTTATAGCAGGGCTGAAACCAGCTATACAGCCTTGCCATGCTCCAGGCCAGAACACACGGATCATGAACTTTGATTCTTGTGGGTCTGACAAAGGTAAAATCCCTCCCACAGTTCAAGGGCTTTGAGAAAAGATTTTTAAGAAGACTGTCATTTAAAACAGATGGTGCTAGATAGACAAATGAACAAGCTCTGATTCTGGCTGTTAAATTAATCAAGTAACTAAATAGAAGTGAGGCCTGATTGCTCTAAATGTAGGTGACAGATAGGGAACTCAATTAGCTTTCACGGTAATTCAAGACTGTTCCTCCCTGCACCATCTCACCCACACTCACGCACTCCCACCCCCAACAGGGAGAGCCTAAAATCAACCTACATTGTGATGTGACTCTGGAGGAGACAGTTTTCCTTTAGGAAAGGCTCTGAGACCACCCCTACCCTCATCCCCAGCAGGGAGACAAGGCCAGAGAGCTACTCTCCAAGGAGTTTAAGGCTTGACAGTACTTAAGGGCATGTGAGCTGGTGGAGAGGGTGGAGAGTGATACCTGGAGATCCCTTCTGAGTCCGGGTAAAGAGCGGCCCGCCAGGGGCAGGGCCATGCCGGTGCTCCTCCGTGCAGGAGCTGCACAGCCAGCGGTTGCAGTAGGTACAGAGGATGTGTGCCGCCCTCTTCTCTTTGCACTCAGAGCAGCTCTGGAAGCAGAGAGTTCTGGAATTACTGATAATATCTTCATTTGGGCCTGCCTTTATGAGTGGTAAATACTCTAGGAACCAGAGTCTGGCGGGGCTGTTCCTCCACTATTTTGGAGTGCAGTCAATTTTGGAGAGCCACCTGGAAGTGACACATGGGGGCGTGTGAAGGAAAGCACCCTTTGTGACAAAGAGCAGTGGCCTCAGGGGCTATTCACACAAGTCCTGTGCTGAAGCTGAGGATACGCAGGTGAGTGAGGTGGGGATCTTCTCTCAAGGTACACACAGCAGACATTCAGTGGGTGATACTACATGTGATAAAAGGATGCACCAAGTGCTAAGTAAGCAAAGCAAGGTTTCCAGGAGTTCAGGCTAGGAGTGGCCAGGAAAGGTTCCAAAAGAGGTGACATTTGAGTCGGATATTGAATGACAAGTAGAAGTTCCCCAGATAGGCCAGGGAAGAAAAAGAAAAGCACAGGCAAGAGCAGACAGTTCACCGTGTCCACAGAGAGGAAGAAGCTGCAGCCGTATGGGTACACCATGAGGACCACACACAGCCAGGGAAGAGCAAGCACAGACCGACTCTCAGAGCTGTGTTTCCACTACTGGGACTTGCCAGGACCAAGAGTCCCTAGTCTTGTCCTAGTTCAACTGTTTATTCATTTGGTCAGCAAATATCATGCAGGGTGGATATAAAAGGCGGAGAAGAGGAAATTTGGGGAAAATTAGCCTGCTGTGCCTGAATAATCCAGGCCACCAAACTGATGTGGATTCTGGCGGCTTTGTCTTCATCTTGGGATCTGACAAACTCATATCAAGGGGGGAAAAAAAGAAGAGAAATACAAGTTTAACTAACTAAACTATGAATTCCTTGAGGGTAAAGACATGGATCTCTGTCTCCCAAACACCAGCACAGGCCCTGACATATGTCAGACATTCAATAAGAACTAAATACAGGAGCAAGTAAGTAAAATGACAAATGAATAAAATGTAGTGGCAACGGGGTACCCTAGTGGAGGAAGTAACAGAAGGGATACCAATCAGTAAATGATGTGAAACTTCAGAAACTCAAGGAAAAGGTCTTGGATGTTAAAGACAGGCAAAACTGATGAACCCCTTTAATCCAGGCTGGTGCATGAGTTTTGACTAGGCAGGAATGAGGGTAAAAGCTCAGTACTCAGAGTTTTCAGTAAGAGCTTCTTTGCTTGTCCTTACTTACCCTGGCCATCGTGGACTGTCCAGTAGAAAAGTACTGCCGAAAAAAACGTTCAGTTACATCCTTGGTAAGGTACACTCGCTTACACCCAGGACAGGAGATGAGCTCTGGGAGGAGGAGGAAAAGACAGCACAGTCAGGGCAACATGGCAGATTATACATAACATGAGGCCTAGACCCAAGGCTTTCTAATACACAACACCAAGGCATGTGCCAATGCCACTTGTGCCAAAATGAAATATGTCTGATGCCATAGCCTGCACTTTCCATCTAGGTACTCTGGACGTGACCATCCTACTAGGGACCTGCCTTACAGACCTTCTCCACATCCCCATTTTTGCCTGATGCTATATTCCTCTCCTCCCTACAAGCCATGCTACTTCAGGCCCAACCCTGCTCCAGTCCCGACAATCAGGTGCCTTCCCACTCCTCCCACTCTTCATTCTATAGCCCTGAGGGCCCAGTTCCCAGTACTGGCTAAGTTCGAGGGGGTCAGTTTAGCCCAGGGCACAGCTCTAGCCATTTATGTTACTGTAAATTTTACTCTAAGTAATTACTATAGCAGAATTACTTTAAAGAGCTCAAAGCTAGAGCTTCCAGAAGGTTCTAGCAAAGAGAAAGGCAAGGTCTCCCTGCCTGCTCATCTAGGAGGTATTTTTCCCTTGTTACAACCACAACCAGTTGGTCTACCCCTGGAGCTCAGAGAGCTTTTGCTGTACCTTCTCCACCTAGCCCACGCTGAATGCACCACATGTATGCATGTTTTACTTGTGAACAGGAACCCTCTCTCCTCAGAGAGATGCAACATTCTCTAGCATATTCACCAGCATGGTGGACTCCTGAACTACACATGTGGCGTGAGACCGCCACCCTAGGGACTACAGTACCTCAGACCCACCGCAAGAGCGCTCGGCCTGCTGGATGCAAGGAAATGAGCCTCCTGAGGAGAGCCTGGCGCTAGTGCCCAGGGATGAGGACAACCTGGAAAGGGGCTGGCTATGGCAGTGAATGCAGCAATACCACCACAGTCTTCTCTGCCTCATCTAACCAGAATGATACAATTCCTCTACACCTGAAGTCAAACAAACTTAAGTCCAAATACCAGGTTTACCACCCAACGACCTTGGTTGGGCAAGTCACTTAATCTCACTTAACTCATCCGTGCCCCAGTTTCTTCATATGTCAAATAGAAAGGGAAAATAAGAGTTGCTATGAGGATTAAATTAAACAACACTTGAGAATTTACATGATCCTCCATGAATGTTGACTTTGAATTCAAAATTCATGGTTAAGACAATAACCTCAATTATCAACTCTCCCAGGTGATGAAAGTCAGATGGTCTGAGAGACTGAAAAGGTGGCTACAAATTCTTCTCCTCCCTGCATCCATGTCCTTGCAATCCTAACCATTAAAACGGGTATAGGGAGAGGGTACAGCTCAAGTGGTAGAGAATATGCTTAGCGTGCATAAACACCTGGGTTCAATCCCCAGTATCTCCTCTAAAAATCAATAAACCTAATTACCTCTAACACACACACACACACACACCAAAAAATAAGATAATTTTTAAAAATAAATAAAATAAAAATAAAAACCGAGTCTATTCTCCGCTCTTTGAAGCTAGACTGACTTCATGACCTGCTTTGGCCAACAGAATCCAGCAAAAATGACACTGAACAAGTTTTAAGCCTAGACCTCAAGTGGCTGTATATGACTGCTCTCACTCTCAGAATGCTAAGACTGCCATGTGAACAAGCCCAGGTAGATTGCTGGAAGGTGAGAAACCATGTGGAGGGAGGCTCAGTTGTCTCAGGTGTCCCACCTGAAAGCCATCACAAAGCAGGCAGCCCCAACTGGGCCACCAGCTGAACACAGACATGGGTGAGCACAGCAGAGATTAGCCAAGCCCAGCCCAGCTTAGAAAAACCACCCAGAGAATCCCAGCACAAACTGTCAACCTTAGAATCATAAAGTTTGGCTGATGTTTTAACCACTAAGTTTTGGAGCAGCTTTTTATGCAGCAAAAACTAACTGGAAAAATCAAAATCTCCAAAATCATGCAAATTAATAGTTTAATACTCTTCTTTCCCTCATCTACCACCCTTCCCCCAAAATCCTCCTCTATCCTTCACAGAGCATGGACTTTAATGATAGACTAGATTTGCAATCTCCCAGATACTCTCCTGCCTGTCAAGAACAGTGGCCAGTGGTGGAGAAGGATGCTGTTCACAGGTGGCATCACTTAGGGACATCTACCCCCTAGGTCAGAAATGCTGCTCTAAAATGGTTGAAAATAATTTTCACAAGGCTTCCAACTCCCTGGTACCAGATGCCCAAACATTAGTCATAGTAACACAGCCTCATTAGCATTATGAGAAAAAGAGAAATAACTGAATAGATCAGCCAAGGCCTCATCACACATTCTTTACCCCTTTCCCCTCCCCAGCCTTAAAAGCCAAAATCCTCAGCTTGTCACTCAAGGCACTTTCCAAGTGGACCTTACCTCTCTCTAGTCTCATCTCTAGCATCACCTGCCACACATCCTATATCCTTGCCATGTCAAATGGCTCTGCTAGCCCTTGAATGCACCAAACCTTTGCATTACCCTGTGTCTGTGAAAGTGCTGTTCCCTCTCCCTAAAATACTCTTTCTTGCTCCTCTACTCCTTTTCAGATAAACTCCCATTCATCCTTTCAAACCTATTCAAATGTTCTACTTTTGAGAAGCACAGTTGATTTCCCTTAGGATGAGTTAATTATTCCCTCTTCTGGGTTCCCACAGCACCCTGAACATCCTTCTAGTATAACAGATATCACATTGCATTTTAACTCTCTGTTCATATGTCTACATACAAAGATAAACCACAATTAATATAAAGGATGTTGCATGATTTTTAACAGAATGGACAATTATGTTTCTTTGGGGGTTGGGTATTCCATGTGTATTCCTTGCACTCATGGCCACTGAAAGTAGTAAAAAAGCCATTTTCAAGTTTTCAGGATGGTGGCAAAAAGCTAGCCCAGGAAAATAAAGGAATCAGGTCTGATTCAGAGCAGAGGTGTGATCCTTGGGGAAGGCTGTGAATTGGGAGATGTGGGTTCCAGGCCCACCACTGTCACTTACTGTGCAACCTTAGGTAAGTGACTCCTTTCCTCTGAACCATATTTTCTGCATCCTTAAAATGAAGGGAATGGGAACAGTAGGGAAGTATGGATTATCCAGTCTTCTTCCTCTGCCTACTGCAACCAGGCTTCAGAAATATTCCTCTGGGGAAGATGGGGAGGGACAGACAGCCACTCTCGTCAACAAATCAGGGACAGGCTCGTGGCTAAGGGGAGGCATGGACTGAAAAGCTCATCCAGTCTGAATGGGAGCTGCTGCAGCAGAGAGCAGAGATGAAGAACTATGGCAGTAGTACACACAGGTCCCAAGGTGGCTGTGGGCCCTGGTGTGGACACAGAGGACTGTGTTCTCTTTGTGTCACAACTTTTTGCCCAGAAATTCTTATCTTCTCTCAGAAGGTCCCTAATCCCCATCAAGCTGTGTCAACCTCGAGCTTTTTGTTTTTTAAAGAGGATTCCCCATTTTTCAATGAGGATACCAAAACAAAGTTTTTTAGACAACAGCAATACATGAACTTGTAAGGCTGTGGATATATTTAAAACAACCAAACATCGACTACCAATATTTAACATTAATTTAGTTATTAATACATATTTAAATCACATATTACATAAAATACTGTTTAGATAGGTTGCTTTTTCTCTTCCTATTTGAATTATTCAAGTAACAGCATTGAGCTTTATTTCATATACAGGAACATCAATTCTGAGAAATGTCAGACGAGGGCTCAAACGCCACACAACCATCTCCAAAGGAGGTGGGACTTCTGCTTCCAGAATGAAGAAGTTACAGGTGCCAGAGGTCCTCCTTGGAGACCTAGGGGCCTGGGAAAGTGGCTCTGAAAGCTGAGGATGTTCAGTCCATCAGTCGCAAGAGTGAGCACTTCTTGTCCCTGAGAGGTATGGGACAGATTATTCTTTTACCACCACTCCCTGCATCAGGCCCTTACATGTGTAACCTCATTTAATTGTCAAACCACCTGAGAGGTAGGCATTGTCCCTATTTCATAGTTGGACAGACTGAGGCTCCAAGAAGTTGTCACCTGTCAAAGACCATAAGAAGCAGGAACAGAACTACAATTGGGACCCAAGTATGTCCACCTCTAAAATCCAGCTGGGTCCACTATGCTATACTCCTCTCTAGTTCAAGTGTAAGTAAACAAGGTCATTTTATTTTAATTAACTAAGTGATTTGATAATAAGTAAAATATTCCATAATAATAATCATAACGGACACAGCTTTGAACTCAGAATCCAAAAGGAGCTGGGAGCCAGCCCCAGCCATGCTTAAAGTTTTAAGAAATATGACCTTTGAGAAAAGGCAATGAAGCAGAGTTTTTCTGCCTGGAAAAAAATAAATCTAGAAGCAGTTTTCATTCTACAGATTGGTGGTTCTCAAACTGTCACATATTTAAATCATATGAGGAACTTCTAAACATTCTAATGTCCAGTCGACATCCCAGATGAATTCAATCAGTTTCAGGCGCGGGGAGCCAGGCATCAATATTTTTAAAAATTCCCCAGGTGATTACAATGTACAACCAAGTTTGAGGACCAGTGCCATAGAGACAGCATCCTATCTCCCTGTGGCTGAGTCTGATAGATCTGTCCCTTGAATCATGCAGCTGAGAAAGGCAGACTCACCTAGTTTTAAAGAGGTTCTGAGAAGTTAAGACAGACTCTGAATACAGCCGTTACATTTTTCCTCTCTGGTAGAGGAAAGGGCAGATACCCAGCAGACAGAAGGCCATCCTGATACCTAGGTACCCTGGGGGTTGGTGGAGAATTGGAGAACACATTTTGCCTCTCCTAACTGCCAGCTCCACTGAAGGACCCATGAGCAGGCCTAGGGTGCAGCCAGAGGTTTGGCACTGCAACGACAGTTGCTGGGACCTAGAGTGTATGCTGAGCCCAGGACTTGGTGAGGCAGCAAGGGAGGGGGGCCAAGACTGGGCAGTCCACACTTAGACACAAACAGCAGCACC